GGGTCTCATCCGGGGCACTGTTGGCACTTGGGGCCAGAGAGCTCCTTGCTGGGGGTGCTGCCCTGTGCCTTCTGGAGTGTTCGGGGACCCTTGGCCTCAGATGCCAGAGTACCTCGAGCCATTGTCACATGCCCTGGGTGAGGAGCGTAACACAGGTGTGGTTCCAGACCTCCCTGGGCCCCAGTGTACAGGGCCGAGCTGCCCTGCCTCCCACCAGCACCCCGCCCGGTCCCTCACCCCTGGGCCTGGCCGCTGCCCAGGGCCCCGCTGACTTGCAGCCAGTGCCATCCACAGACTGGAAGCCGGGGTCACTGGGGCCATGCTTGGAGTGCAGGCTATGGAGCATCTGCTGAAACTTGCCTGTCCCAGCTCAGCTGAGCGTGGGGCCTGGGATGACACACATATGCACAAACATGTGGCACACAGGCACATGGCTCGCTGAGTGCCTGACCACTCTGCTGTCCAGGGAACCTTGAAAGGTCTTGTCTCTTTTTTGGGGAGGGCCCTTTTCCTCAATGTGTTTCTACCTCCTTCTTGGAGATTAGGGAAGTTTAAATGAAAGGCCTAGAAGGAAGGATCTAGTGGTTTTCCAGTTTGTGCACGTAGGGGTTTTGTTTCTGCAGCAAATGGGGAAGTCCTGTGGCCTGCCAGCGTGCCCCGTGTCCCGGCCGCCGTGGGCTCAGAGGACAGGCTGGAAGGGCGTGGGAGCGAGCCCAGGGAGGGACCCGGTGCCGCGGCCCCGTGGCAGCTCCCCTGCACCGCCCGGCGGGCCTCCTGAGCCTTCTGCAGGCGCTGACCCCGGCCCTCTGCTCTGCAGTGACCTGACCAACGGTGCGGATGGCACGCTGGCCACGAGCTCCAGCGGGTCCCAGTACAGCGGGTCCCGGGTGGAGACCCCCGTGTCCTACGTCGGCGAGGACGACGAGGAGGACGACGACTTCAATGACGACGACGAGGAGGCCTGAGGCCCGCGCGGCCGGCTCTGGGACACGTGCAGGGGGGAGAAGCGCTTCACGTGGGTTTTCTGTTTCTCTTTGGCCTCCTCCCGAGAAGATGTTGGAAAGCTGTCGAGGTGGGTGTGCGTCCCCAGTAAGCAGGCGGAGCATCTTCCATGGGCTGCCTGCCACGAGCCGTGGGGCGACCGGACACCGGCGTGCCGTGCGGGGCCTTCCCTTACGCTAGCATTGTGTGTTTCCTTTTTCTGCTCTTGAGTCCGGAGTTCAGTTTGCCCTTGAACGGCTCTTGCTGAAGAACCTGTGCTCCGTCTGTGTGCGGGGAGATGGGCCGCCAGCCGCGGCAGGCACCCCTGGCAAGCATCTGCCGCGTGGAGGGCTGGGCTGCACGGAGGCTCTGCGGTGCCCTGGCAGTTCCACTCCAGCAGGGGGCGCCCCAAGCTTAGGATGACTTTATTCTCCCTTAAATTATATTGACTGTGAGTCCATCAAGCTTATATTTCTCTTTCTTCTGTTGCAACAAACAAATCTCATAGTTCTTTCTTTCTTTTTGTTCTGGTAAAAGTTTACCGCCACGCTGGCACAGCTGTCAGACTGTTTTGAAGGCTTGGAGTGGTTTATCGCTTATGGTAAAATTTGCCTGATTTCTCACAGGCAGCATTTGGAGACTTACTATCTAGTTGTTTACATACTTAAGTCTATCATTTAAGGACATGTACTGAAACAAATGTTGTATTTGTTTCATAAGCATCTTCCTGTAATCTATTATAAAGTTGAAATTAAATATAGAGAATGTTTTAACAGTTTTTTAACTCAAAATTTGTCAATCATTTTTAATAGTTCTTTTTTTATAAAGAGGAAAAGGAATTTCAGGACAAGCAGTGGTCTCTTAAAACTTATTCACAAAGAACCATTAACTGCAGTTGCTGTTAGCTGCCTATTCTAAAACAATAGCGTTTTTATTGAAACACAAATAAACTTTTCTGTAATATTTTATGGAACATAAAGACTTTAATTGTCTGACCTGTTTAACTTGGCACTGGTAGTTTTTAATAAAACGCGCATGGGCATTTTAAACAACTTCTGTGTTTCTCTGATTAAGGATTACTGTCCAGGAGTTTGCTTTTCCCTGGAGGAGGGCGGGTACCAGGCATGGGGGCCAGACGTGGGCCCGCGGGCCTGCAGCTGCTGAGGCAAGAGGCCCGGGACCGTTCCTGGGAGGCGTGGGCCAAAGCCGAGCCTGCTCTCCTGTGTCCAGTGCTAAAATCCTAAATGTTGAGGCAGAATGCGGGTCAGACTGTCAGGAGAAGAGTGAGGTTGTTGGTCAGAAAGGCGGGCGCAGCAGCGTGCTAGGGTTGGTGGACACGTTGGTGGGAGTACAGCCTGCGGACCCCAGAAGTGAGCCAGGGCCCTACGGGGGGCTTCCCCCTGTTCTGAGGGCTAAGGGGCAGTGGGGGCAGAGGGCTCAGTCCCTGCCCAGAACCCCCAGGACCTCTCCTCCCCAGGGCCTCTCC